AGGTCACCAGCTGTGCAACATTAAGGAAGGTTCTCAATTCCTCTAGCAGCAACGGGTTTCCAAACAAACGCGTTTGGAAACTGGTCAGACACCATCCAGCTGTCTGACCCTTGGCAAGTTACCTCACCTCCCTATGTGTCATTTTCCCCATCTGTAAAATGGGTCTCACTACTTTACACCTCACAGGGTTGCTGTGAAGGTTAAGTGAGGGAAAATGTCTCTAAAGCACTTAGCACAGTGCGAGGTACCACAAGCTCTCAAAATATCAACTGGTAGTAAATAATGGTAGCAGCAGAAATATGATTCTGTCCAGGATCAAACTCAGTTTGATGAGCTAAGCTTCAATGAGCTGTCATCCAACTTGAAAATCACCTGAAACAATCGAATCCTCTATGGAAGAGTTACTCATGCCTAGTAACTACTTCCGCCTTCTCTTTCACCAGGCTGCAAGCTCCCTGGGTCTTACTCATTTCTATGTCTCAGCGTTTAACATGGTGAGTAGCATATGGCAGATGGTAATAAATCTTCGTTGAACTGAACAGAATTAGTTCAATGTTTGTAAGTACATTTCATCTTTGCTACTAGATTATAAGTTCTTTAAGAGTGAGGCCCATATCTTTCTCCAGTAAAGATTTATTAAATGAGTGATGGAAAAATACCAAACCAAGAATCAGGTTTCTAAGATCAAGCTCAGTCATTCAACAGCTGTGCAACCTGGACAAAGTCACTTAACACTTCTGCTCCTTATTGGTCCCGCCTCAAAGATGAGAAGTTTGAACCACATGTTTGCCATACTCCCTTACATTCTAAAACTGGATTTGGGCCTTAGCTGCAACATGGCACTTCTGCCACCATGCATGTGACGTCAACACACCCTCTGGCTTGGCAGGCCAGCTTGCTAATTTACCTCCCTGATTTGCAGTTTTCCAGCAGGAGGCTATGAATAGCTTTGGGCCAGTGCTTAAAACACCCATTTTTGGTCAAAACATTTGACTTGCTAGGTGAGGATGCCCCATCACCCAAGCTAATGCTCTAGTGGCCGAGGGCAGCAGGGCAGACTGTGGGGGAGGGGCACACACTGACCACCAGTCCTGCCACTCCCATCCCATACTCCCTGCCAGGGACCCTGCCTCCAGCTCACACCATACCACCTACTGCTCACTAGAGATAACCTGGTACAGGGAGGAAGTCGAACTTGGCCCCTTGACACAGAGGTGATCACAGGACATAAAATTGTGTGGTTTTGGTTTTTGGTTTTTGTTTTTTTTTTTTTTTTTTTTTGCATAGTAGAGATGGGTTTCACCATTTTGGAGCTTAGCTCAAAGAAAATGCATGCTGAATTATGACACAGAGGCTCACCCGACAGGCCTGCCCAAAACTGTATCAAAACAAAAGTTGTGCAATAAACAAGGCCCAAATTCAAGACTTGAGAAATGCATTCAGATCCTATCTGAATCTGGCTAATTATCTCACCTTCCTATGGACACACCTCCCTAATTAATTTGGTATTTATTTTATTACTCTGAAAAGTTGATTATTTCTTCTATCTCTCTCTGCATGATACAATGCATTGTGTCTCTCTCATGGTCTTAAAAGCTAATGAAATCCTAAAACGAGATGAGAAAAAAAAATCTGCTCAAAGGAGGAACTAAATTGATTAATGTCCCCTTTTGAGGTTTTATATAGATCACTGTATTCAGTTCTCACAAGTCCATGAAGTTGGTACTCTTAGTAGCTCGTTTTACCGATGAAGAAGCTGAGGTTTCAAAAAGTCGCATAGCTTGCCAAAAGACACAAAGCTAGTAGGGGATAGATCAAGGATTTGAATGTAAGCCAGGGCTCTTAGCCTTTCTGCAAGAGTGCCTCATTTTTGAGCTTGTTCACCTCTGGAACAAGCCACTCTGAGTCCTGGGCTCACAGACATGCTTTAGCAGAGGCCGCAAGACTGCAGGAGGATGCCTGGATGGCGCACACGGTCGCACCAGCTGACTCCAAGCATCTCATTCTGCACTCTTCTTCAGAACTGCCTTTAGCGGCACATAGAAAATGATGCTGTGTTGTGTTGTGTTTTATTCGGAAGGTCCTTCCAGGTATGCAATTAAAAACCACCACATCCTCATTTTTTTGAAACTTCTCTCCTCTCTGAAAAGAGCCCCTGCTTTCAACAGGGATGTTGATTTCACAGCATTTCATAGAGCCCCGTACCCGGCACCTGTCTTGGGCCACTCACATTAGTAAAATACGTTAGAACCACTGCTCCTCTTGAGAGACGCTGTAAAAGGCACTGGTGCAAATGAAAATAAAGCATCACTTCAAAATTCTACCCAAAGATCAAAAGGCTAAATTAAGATAGCGCCCTTTCGGTTCTCCTCAACTGCACCTTCAAAGCAAGTTATGAATGTTTAGCACATCATCGGTACCAGAAGAAAACTCCAAGTTCATATTTTAGATGAAAATTTCTTGCTGCTCTTAACAGGTTCTGAGTTACCAGGCACTGTATGGGCAAGAACAACTCGTTGACCAATTTTTTGTGTGTTTGGTGTTATTTTCTGCTCAGCCAGTCACAGGAAATTCTCCACTTGACAATTCCTGTTTCTCACTTAAGTTCTTGACACCATCCGTGAGCAGTGTGCTCGGCAGGGGGAGGACAGGGGGGCCAAGGAGGACTTCCTTTCCCCAAACCTCAGTTTTCCCATCTGTTTTATGCAAGGTTTTCACCCAGGGATCTGGCTAACATTCTATAAGCTTAGCTATCAAGGAGAAAGCAGCCCCGTGAATAAATGAAGCATTTTAGAGACTGCCAGTTTCTGGGCGTGGGTCTGCTGCCAGATTTAAAATCTTTACATAATTTTGGGGTAAAACTAGAGATTTAGCTGAAATTAATAGCACAATGGGAAACCGAACTAGGGCTGAACAATAACACAGCGGGACTTCAGACCTGTGGCTGGTAAAGAAGCCTCTCTCGTTCTCAGGGCGCCCCCTCGCGGCCTCTTGACTAAATCCTGACGGAATGTTCAGTTTCTGCAAATAAGAGAAAGACATCCCCCAAAGAGAAAGGCGGACTGCTGCCTACTGATGCAAATGCCTTTCACTCTAACCTAGTCTGTGGATCAGCCAGTTCGAAGAACGCCTGACAGGAAGTCCCACTGACGCTCAGAAAGGCGTCTGCCATAAGACAAGGGTTCGTTCTTTAGAAGGGTCTGAGGCAGTGCCCCAGCATTTAGACTTTGGGGTCCCTTCACAGACCCCAGGCACACCCTTACCACTTCAACAACCCCTCATAGTCTCACATTCTCAACCTGCAACTCGAACTGCGTCTGTTTTTCATTATTCTGCTTCCCACCTTCCCAGTGCGATTCTTCAGCAGCTATTAAGACAACATGAGCAGGGAGCTAAGCTTAGTTTTTGCTTATTCAACATCCAGCCTGGGGAATATCACCTCAGAAGAAAAGCATGAATGAAGCGCACATGTCCCAGCCTCTTCTTCCACAAACCTGAAAATGCCTTCATCAGAGGCCACCCCTACAACCCTCCCCTGTAACAATTTCATCCTACAAAAATGGCACCTGCCCAGAGTGAATTCTCAACTACTTGCTTGCTGTAGAATTTATTACAGAGCCAGCTTTAAAAAGAAATGTACATCTCAAATTTCCAATTAATTGATAACAGATTTTTTTTTAAATAACGTTATGGGATGAAGTTATATAGACTCAAACACTGAATCTGAGAAATGGGTTGGGAGGGCATTATCCAGGTATCCAGATATTTGAGAATCTGGGGACTGAACTTTGCTGACTTGGCACCCCCATTTTTTTCACAGAACTGTCCCTGCCCAAATGCAAAAGAAACATGTCAATATTAAGCTGCTATTTGACAGCTCATTTTCCTTTTTTCCCGCAGTCATTTGTTGTTTATAAGCAACCCTGAGCCCCCAAAAGTGCACACAAGGAGTCCCATAATTAGTTTCTGACTTTGGCCCTAAATCGATTAAAATACATCTGATCTGTTTCAAATCAAAGAACTATGTTAATTTTCTGCCACACACCACACAAAATCTTTCTGCAGCAGTCAGTCACTTTGAACCCAACTCTCTAGCCACAAGCAGTGTGGATTTCAAGGGCCTGTTCTGCAGAAGTGAAAATAACAACAAACCAAGGCTGGGACAAGGCAGACAGACCCCAAGGCACTCAAAGCACTTCTTGTAGCTGTGCAAATGGTGCCAGGACCCTGGCAGGGTGTCAGCTGTCACAAGAGCAGCGGGGCCAGACCCCTTCAGCAGTTTGGTAGCCCTGCAACCAGTAGCTGAAACGCAATTGAGCCTGCTGCAACTAAGCACAGCTATCTGTGTAGCTACACATGCCCTGGACATTTCACTCCTCCCAAAGCCACAATGCAAACTGTTAGAATCCTCAGACTTGCAGTAGTCTTTATTTTTGCTTCCTAACCTTGTATCAAAAACAGGCAGGAGTCGCCCTCCCTTGCAGCCACAGCATCATCAGGGCAATGCAGAGTCTGAGTGGGAGGATGCAGAGCAAGGGGCTGCGGGCAGATGGGTGCAAGGGGGTAGGGACACCTACAAAACACGGGACTTGAGGGGCTAGCTCCTAGCTGGAAATGTGGTTATTTGGAGAGTTGTGGAAATAAGGCATTTCGGGGCATGGTCTGAATGTGTGCCTGCGAGGGAGACCCCGGCCGTCCCAACGCTGCAAAGTGTTTGCAAATCTAAAACATTCCTTTGCTGCTGGGATTAAATTTTTTAAAACAAACCAAAATATAAAATAAAATATGTGCAGACAGGATGTAACAAGTGTTTCAGGACAGAGACACGCCTGAGTCACGGGGTGCTAGGGAAAGAGTGAGGAGTCTGTCTCGGGGCTTCCCAATGAGCCCCCTCTCTGTCAAGAGAGCCCTAGGGCGCACAGATCCCCGCCTCGCACGCCATCGGTCCCCAGCCCGTCCAGCCAGCTTCCCCCCGCACACTCCAGGATTGACCCACTCACCACTCGGCCCGAAAACCTCTCGGTGGCCCTCTTGACTTTGCCATAGGTGCCTTTGCCCAGGGTCTCCTGCAGCTCGTAGCGGTGCTTCAAGTTGTGCTTGTGGTGATGCCGCTTCACCCCGTGAGGCTTCCTGGGCTCCGGGGCGGCCGCCGCCGCGGGGGCTGCAG